TTAAAGAAATTCAAGATATACTTGACAAAGAATCAAATTATATGAGGATAGAAGAATATGAAGGTGAAATTCCTAAAGTCGGGCTTGCAACAGTGCCTAAAACATATTTTAATTCAATTGAAACAGTTATTTCACAATACCTTATGCCAACAATGGTTTTTAAGGTTTGTGAGCAAATGCAAGAATGTTTCTTTTATGATTGTATTAAAATCAACCATACGGATCTTGAGTCTATATTACAGGTAACTATTTGAATTATGCATTATTAAACCAAAAATATTTATCATACTAACCGATTTATATTGTAAGGAACAAGTAAATATGGATTATGATGAAGGAATGCGTGAAGACAACTACGAGCTTATGAAAGTTCATTTGGTCAATATAGTTGAAAAAGTTGGATATGAACAAATCGTTGAAATTTGGAAATTAGTATTGTCTTGTGGAACTAAAAGACAATATATTATACTTACAGTAGATGGTTCACATATATGTACATGTAATCTTCTTATAACACATGGTTATCCATGTCGACATTTTTATAAAATTTTACGTTGTTCATCTCAAGCTAAATGGCACATTGGACTTATTGCAAGACGATGGTATAAGGATGATATTATCAAAGAAAATCCGAATAAAATTTGGGAAAAATCTTCTATTTCATTATGCATTAATAACATTCAAAATTAAGAAATTACAAGCGATTTTGGATATTTGAAAGAGATTCGCAATTCAGATGTTTATACACCAGTATTGCAAAAAATTAATAGTACACGCCAAAAATATAGCTGTGCACAAGGCATAATGCGAAAAGTTCTTGATTTAGCAATTTCTACTAATTCGTATGATGAATTAATAGGCATTTGTCAAACTTTTATATTAAATAAGCAGCACATTCAAGAATCACAGCAAGAAAAATCATTACAAGATAAATCATCACGAGATGAATCATCACGAGATAAATCACTGCAAGATGAATCACCACAAGATGAATCACAGCAAAATGATGAATTTAATATTGGAAATCCAATAATTACAGCTCGAAGAGGAAGGCCTCCGGGAAGAGCAAAAAGTGCTGTTGAAATTCAGGAAAATCAGACAAAAAAACGTCGTTATCTTCAACTGATAAATGTTAATCAGGTAGTTAATGAATCTGAAAATGTGCACAATAGATTAAAAGAAAAGGATACACGCAAAACATGTCAAAATTGTAAGCAAAAGGGACATAACAGAGCAACATGTAAAAATTGATTGTAGTGTTTTATCTATATATGCAATTTAATTATAATGACGCTTAATGAGTTATACTAAAGCTTTGCATTATAGCAGTCTTAAATTTGTATGTTATCATAATGATACTAATATACAAGATTCTAAAAAAATAAAGCTTTGAGCTTCTAAATTTATAATCTATTATTTACCAAATTCAGTCTATGAAAATTTGATGCTAATAATATAGTCTAAATCCGGTAAATAATAGATAATAAACTTGGAAGTCTGAAGTCTTATTTTTACTAACATTTATATAAGTTTAGTTAACTCAGAATAATTATAATCTCTTCAAGCAATCGAATGATGCACAAAGGTATAGTTTATATAATTTTTTTCGTTTCATTAAAGCACAATAGTAATATATGATAACGATATTAGTAAATCCAAATAGAACCTTTAAAGTGTGATCGTATAATTAAGAAAGCTTATCTATCAAATTAGATTTCTATATGTTGTCCTTTTATAATAGTTAGAGTAAGGGTGAGCACAAATATAAGTTGTTTTTTTTAGTTAGCGGTTAGGGTTAGGAGTTTTAGGTAAAAAAAATTTTTGTAACTATAATGATCTTTAATTTTCATGTAGAATAAATTAGCAATCAAAATTCATCAAATTGGCCTAAATTTATGGTCGAAATAGGCCAGAATTTCAAATTCTTATTAATAAACTAGTAGCTTATATATATCAAGTAAAATTACTCAGCTATGTACTAATTTTGCTAAGTACGTATACATATATAACAGTTTAATTTGTATTTAAAGTTTGGATCAGGATTTAGGTTAGCATTTCAATTTAAGAGCTATAATATAGTACAATTGTGCAAAAAAAAAATTTTTGTTAGGACCAAAAAGGTGATTTACTAGTCTATATTTCATGAGCGAATGTTTGTTTTGATTTTCTTTATGTAATACCTGATATCAGTTTTTAATTGGCTAACTGATATCGGAAAATCAATCCTGGCATTGTATTATACTGATACAAGTTAGAGGTTAAATACGGGTTTATTTTCTTATATTAAACTGATTTTAATCGGTTTAATATAAGAAAAATAAAACCGGTTTCACAATTTATATATTATGTAGTACTATAAATATATATAACTATATATATATATATAATTGTATTTACAGTATGTATATAGCAGGTAATTATAATTTATATGTTACACAATAAAATCGGTAATTTTACCACCGGTTAAAATTAGCAATTGCCTTTAAAAAATAGTCGCAAATTTTCGAAAAGTTTAAAATATAGTATACTTAATAATATTACAAAAATATATAATTAAA